GGAGGCTAAAACATATGAAGAACAGTTACAGGAACTGGGCTTGACTAGTCTAGTGAAGAGAAGGACCAGGGGAGACATGATAGCAGTCTTCCAATATTTGAGGCGCTGCCACAGAGAGGAAGGGGTCAAGCTGTTTTCTAAAGCACCTGTAACCCAGACAAGGAATAATGGATGGAAACTGAACAAGGAGAGATTTAACCTGGAAATAAGAAGAAACTTTCTGACAGAACAATCAACCAATGGAACACCTTGCCCTCAAAAGTTGTGTGAGCGCCATCATTTGAGACCTTCAAGAAGAGATTGAGAAGGTGTAGATCAGAAATGGTGTAGGGTCTTCCACTTGGGTGGGGGGTTGGACTAGATGACTACAAGGTCCCTTCCAACTCTGATTATCTGTTATCTGTTAAATGGATCTAAGGATTGCTTCTCCTGAGTGTGCTCTTTCTGGAGAGCTTAAATTACCTCTCTGCTAAAAGGTTTCGCTTTCTGGGTAATAGTTGGCTGCTGATAGTTATCATTGCATTTTAACTATATTAATTCCTCAAGGTGCTCTGGCATCCTGCCTGATTTGTAACTCCGGCTTGCAGGTATTTTTAATCTAATGATTGGTACTTAGGGTAGCTTTTTGCAAGCAAAGAAGCTTTTTGTATTTTTGTACAGGTAATCCTTGACTTACAACAGTTCATTTAGTGATCATTCAAAGTTATAATGGCACTGAGAAAAGTGACATGACTTTTTCACACTTAAAACCGTTGCAGCATTCCCATGGTCATGAGATGCCAGGTGAGGAGAAGCGCCCCTTGGCATGAGTGATGTCGAGTTGGCCACACCCACCCAGTCACATGACCACCTAGCCATGCCCACCCAGTCACATAATCAGTCACGCCCACCAAGCCACGCCCACAGAACCAGTTGTTAAAAAATTTGAATCCCACCCCTGGTCCAGTCTATGTCTTTTGTCATTCCAGGTAACCAAAATTCCATCTGATATCAGCCATCTAAACTTTACTTGGTGTTTAATCAACTGTCCTGTCAGGAATTCCACTGATCTCTAACTCTTCTGGGCAATTGTTTTAAAACCACAATCTCTCTTCCCTTATATTTTAGGGTTTCCTCTCTTGTTTTTTTAAGAATTTCTGCTCTTGTTGATTTTTTTCGGAAATCTTACATGCACCTTCGTTGGAAGTTACCTCTTTCTAGCATAGCTAGTATGAATTTTGAACACTTCGTCTATCTCAGCCCTCATCTCATGTGTTGTTATCTGTAAGGTTTGAGTCTGTAACTCTACCATCAACTCAGCTAAGTTTTCCTCTTTTTCTTCCTCGATATTCTGGAACCTCGGGAACTTTCAGTCTTTTCCATTTGCAATTGAATAACAGTTCCTTCCAGTTCTTTATTGTCCTGTGTTAGTTTCTGATTCATTTCCTCTATTTTTTTTCTCTAGTTGTTCTGACTTCTCTTCAATCGTTTTAATCTTTTCTTCATTTTTGGCTAGTATTTCTTGAAAAGTCCCCAGAACGTATAATGTTCTGAATCTTTGTCATTTAATTTCAAAGTGAGTCTATCCATTTCTGCACATTCCAGAATTTTACAAATTATTACTCCATCTGACGATGTGCTGTGGTAGACATCTTCCAAGCCTGAGCTAGTGTGATTCTTGCTACCATGATTATATGTATAATCAAATATTGGATCTTTTTAGGGTTTTTATCCTTGATAATTCCCTGGAGAAACAATTCAGGCTTCAACTCCAACCTGCAATGGGTAATTTCATCTAGCCATGTTTGTATCTTAATCCAATATTTTTTAATCTCTGGGCATAGCCACCAGACATGGTAGAAGGTACCTTACCTTGTGATTTCTTACACTTCCAACAATTCAGGTTCAGCACATATAAAAAGTTTTTCCGTTAATTATCACTTGTCTGTATTGCATCAGTTCTCAGTTCTTCGTTCTTGTCTCTTCTCACAATGGCGGTCTCACACACTGCACAGTCATTCATCCGAAGTTTCTCTTCACATCTGTCAAACCTGTCTTTTTTCTGTTGGAGCTTCACAGTATCAATCTTCGAAAGGCTATTTTTTCAAGCAGTACTTGTCCCCCCCCCCCCCCCCCCGCTGTCTGATCTTTCCTTCCGAATATCATTCTGCTCCTAACGCAAGAAGGAAAAAAGAATCAGCTGCCGCTTGTCCTTTGAGCTTAACACTTGTTGGACACTCCCTTCGATTTTTAGCTGCTCTCTGGCTTAATTTTCACCGATCTTCTAGACTCGGCTACATCCACAGCTCACCTGCTACTGCCGTACTGTCTTTTATCTTTCCTTGCCTCTTCGGATCAGCAGTCACGCCTCCGGGTCTGCCATAAGGCCAGCTTCTTCCATGTCAGGCTTTAGCAGGGGTGGGATCCGACCGGTGTAACTACCAGTTTGGTGATTTATGTTTTACGCATGCATGCACGTTTCACACGCATGTGTGCCTGACGCGCTCTGTGCATGCATGTGAAACATCAGCTTGCTGCCTAGACAGCTGAGCAGTGCTGTACGCAGCTGAGCAGCATTTGAAAAAGCGCTTTTTTCCTGCTTCTTCAACTGCAACTGTGCCGCGCAAAGCAGCTGAGGTCAGCAGCTGAGGAAATAAAGGTCAGGTAAGAGCCCAGGTAGGTGGGTGGGCCAAAACAGTAGGAGACACAGAACCGGTTCTGTGTCTGCTGCTCTTCACAGCTACTGGTTCTACAGAGCCAGACAGAACCAGTAGAATCCCACCCCTGGGCTGCAGGCTCTCTTCTTCTCTGCTTGTCTCCTTTACTGCTCTTTCATCAGAGCTGTCATAGCCTCAGTCCAGTCAATTTAATGGCATTCTTTTCCCCTTGTCAGGATCAGTTTTCCAGAATCAAACAGAGAGTTTGCAGACTCTCTGTGATCAGCAGAAGTTCCCCGTACCTCCGCCACCTCTCCAAGGTGGCTTGGGTCTAATTGAATCCAATTGGACCTCCTGACCAGAGGTGGTATTCAGCAGGTTCTGACCAGTTCTGGAAAAGTGGTAGCGGAAATTTTTAGTAGTTTGGAGAACTGGCAAATACCATCTCTTGACTGGAGATTTTACAGTATCCTTCCCCTGCCATGCCCACCAAGCCATGCCCACAGAACCGGTAGAAAAAAAATTTGAATCCCACCACTGCTCCTGACAGGTAGAATATGGCGACTTAACACAGAGCCCCATGAAAGCTCACCATTCTTGCCGCGATGTAAGCTCCACCCCAGCTTTTAGTTTAATTTAGCTTAAAGGCATTTATATTTACAAAACTGATATTTTTTGATGATATTGCAATTTTTATATTTAAATTTATTTTTTATTTATTTATTAACTTTGTATGCCACTCACTCACTATTAGTATTAATTCTGTACATCTTACAATATCATAAAAATGGGAATATAAAATATAAAACATTTTAACATTTTGATTTGCACGTACTCATCTGGAGTTCCATCAGGATTGGGATGATTTATGTCTTATAAATATTGTAAAATAAGTAAACGGTAAAAATATGGTTAGGCAAATGTAGGCTCAGATATTGCTTTTATTACTCAAGAGCAGAAATGGTTAAAATTGTCATTTTTAATTAGTTCATCAACAGCAACAGAAAGGTGAATCTAGAGCCAAATTCTGGCCATCCAATATTTTACTTGAGTTCTATAAGGGTTGAATTAAAATAGTTGACAAAAAAGTATTTAAATCAAATTTTCTGACTATTTATTAATCAAATACATGCATATGCTAACTACATGCATATGCTTCATAATTACTGTAACAGAATAGTCAATGATTTAGACGTATATAAAGCTTTGGTATGACCTAGGAAGGTAATTTAAAATCTTATTTAGGCAGACAATGTTCAGCTGCCCTGTAATTTGTTTATACAGGAGATAGTTGCTCAACCACTGAAAGCCAAAATTTCAGCTACAGGCCAATGGCAGGAATAACCTACTTTGAGCAGTGTGGCTTTTTCTTCTTCATTTGGGCATTGTTCATACCCCAAGCATTCTAGAAACAAAAATGCTGATCAAACTAAGTCATAAATTGCACCTAGGAAATTGCACCCCTCCATGTGCAGCATTTGTTCCAATTTTGTACTGACACTCTGCTCCTATCTTCTTAAAATATTAACTTCTTGGATTGCCAAGTCAATTTTCTTTTGGTTCTTTGATGCAACTCATATAGCACAACTTCAATTTTGCAAATTGTGAATTTTGATCTCTGCGAAGCTTGGGAGTTGGCTACTGTCTCATTATTGCTATCTTAAATTTTTCTCACTTTAGAAAATATTGATTTCCCTAGTTAAGCAATATGCACCATATATTTCTTTCACCACTGCCTTTCAGCTTCTGGAATCAAGTAAACCATTAGTCTTCCCTCTTCATGTCAAGATGTATACTACATTGCAATTCATAATGATTTCCTAACAATTAGAGAGAACAAAATAGAATTGAAGATAAACTGTCAAAGATTGAACAAGTTATTTCAAATTGAGTAGGTTAAATTTTGTTGCTGTAGTGTATTTTGTGGCAGTATAGCGTTCTTCCCAGGTTTCATTTTTAGATACCTTCATGTATCCAGATGGTGGTTAATCCTTTCTCTTCTCTCCTGTTCTCTGGTCAAAAATGCCATCTTTGCTTTACTGCCTTCATAAATGGATGTTGCTTCCTTTCTTAGGTCTATGCTATTTCCCCGCAATATTCCATTGTGACTTAGTGCAACTCAGCAAGTCATGCTAGAAGTTCACTTGCCGACCATTTTAGTACAATGCAGGCTATCTTAGATAAAGTGTTATTAAATTATATTTTAATAGCATTATTTACAGTATTTATAATTTGCTTAATTTTTGTCCATAATTTGAATAGCATCTGAAATAGACTACAATTTTAATGTTAGTATGGCTTAAATATATAGCTATGAATATATAGCTGATGGAATGCCATTTCTGTGTCTGTTTCCTTTTTCAGAACTGAAGTGTATCCCTAGCTGGTGCTGAATAAATCTCATGATGGTGGCTGAAACCTTAGGCCTGGAAAGTTCCTCAATATGGGTGCTGGCACTGTTGGGAACTTTTACAGTAACTGCTCTTGGACTGGTGTACAAACTAGGACTGATTTATCAATTCTGGCATCAGGTAAAGCCATTTTACAACAGAATGGTGAAATAAAACAGCTGTCAGCTCTGGAATTTATCGCTACCATAGAGTTGAAGAATGTGGGAGGGAGTGATGTAATTCAATAGCTTTTAGTAGACAAAATATATTAGTTTGAGAGTTCAAGGTTACAGAGTGTGGCAGCTGGTAATTGAAGCTGCATATTAATTGGTTCGTGTGTTTTATGATGTGTAGAGAAATGGGTGGGTGTAGTTGGAATTTTGTGGGAAGTCTGAAAAGAGCTTCAGTTTCAGAATTTCACAGATGTTACCAGTTCCTGGTTTTAATGGAGCACTTTGAGATGATGTCTGTCTCGCAGTTACTGATTGAACCGGATAATTTCTGGAACCTTTACAACTGCTGGAATCATATGTATACAATACATCCTTAGTGGAGGTTGTATTCTTGAAAAAATTACTCAGATAATGAAATATTTTTGGCAGGTAGCTTTTAAGAGACAGTAAAAAATTAAAATTATTCCTAGTTTTTATATATCTGCAGTTCATTCCTCTGGTTCTGTATTAGAGAGAATTGTGACAAACAGATTTTTGTTGTATGACTTCTGTTAAATAGCATCAACATGTGTCCTTATCTTTTCTAGGTGGATCCTAAAAGTACCCGGCATGGTGGGGAGATAGTGGCAGAGGTGCTGAAAGCTCATGGTGTGCACTACTTGTTCACGCTGGTGGGTGGACACATCTCCCCCATTTTGGTGGCTAGTGAGAAATTGGGCATTCGTGTTGTGGACACAAGGCATGAGGTGACTGCTGTATTTGCAGCAGATGCAGTGGCCAGACTCTCAGGTATTGCTTTGTACTTCACTTTTTCTGTGGGAGGAGTACACAGACCCAATAACACTTTGTTTGATTTTTTTCTGTTGCAGGAACAGTGGGAGTTGCTGCAGTGACAGCAGGACCTGGAGTAACAAATACTGTGACAGCTATGAAAAATGCCCAAATGGCAGAATCTCCCGTATTGCTGATTGGAGGGGCAACAAGCACATTGCAGAAGGTAGGCTGCTCCGGTCATAGACCCGGAAGTCTGAAGAAAAAAACAACAAAGGCACAGTTTGCTAATATTGCTGATTTGTTTTCTTAGATTACATAGGCTTTCTCCCACAACCTGAATTAGCTTTTGCACAGCATCTGTGTGGTAAACAAGCCACTTTTTATAAATATTTGCATACCTGTTGGTAAAACCAGCTATTTCTATATGAAATTAGTGGGCTTTCAGTTTTTTCTCTCCATTCTTCTGCTTTTCAGGGCAGAGGAGCTCTCCAAGATATTGACCAATTATCTCTATTCAAGCCACTCTGCAAATTCTGTGCTTCAGTGAACACTGTCAAAGATATTGCTCCTGTGCTGCGAAAAGCAATTGCTGTTGCCCAATGTAATACTCCAGGTATGTCCTTGTTCTACTGACTTGGAATTAATCTGGCAAACACCCATAGTTACAATTTCTGAGCAGAGGGGTAGCTTGGTAGGAGTGACTGCTGGAGTAGACTTCTTCTGTCCCGTTTGCTAGGATGTTTGATTTATATCTCTTTTTCCTTTCATTACCTATCAGATATCAGGAAGTCTTCCCCTTAGGCCAGTGCTATTATATACCCATGTTTCCCTGAAAATAAAACCTAGCCCGAAAACAAGCCTTTGCCTGATTTTCATGCCTGTGCCTAAAATAATCTCTACCTCCAAAATAAGCCCTAGTTAAGCTCCGCCTACCATCTTAATTGTACAAGATGGGGTGAGCTGCAAGCTTAAAAATCAAGCTAGAGCAGGGTGGGGGAGGCTGAGATAGGAGATTGATTGGAACACTGACATTAACCCGAATCTTAATCTAAAGAAAATCACAGAGGCTTCTCGCAAAAGCATTGCCGCTGTCCGGGGTCCTGAGCCCCGAACACCCCCCAACCTAAGAGCTGTAAAGACTTAGGGAAGATGGAGCAGGGAACAGAAACCCCTGAAGGGGCTACCGGATACACTTCAGGAGATGTTTGCAGAGCTCTCTGCTACCCATCAGCTACTGCAGTAGCCGAAGCAGAGGCAGTGGAGGCCAAACTCTGGAGGGGTGCCCGACCCAAGGAGCCAGTCCTATGACAGTCCCAGCCAGCTGGACCAGCTACGCAGCTAGAATTGGAGCCCATGATGGTAACCCCAGGACCTCCAGGGGTGTCAGGACACCCTGAGCAAGTGGCAGCAAGTGGAGACCATTAAAATCCCTGGAGATTAGCGAGTCCAGAGAATGGAGATTCCAATCGTTGTGGAGCCAATCACTGGCCGGGCTACCCTACAGGTTCGATCAACTGAGTGTGGAGCCCACAGCTCAAATGTCCCCACACCCATCCAGCCTGGTTGAATTCTAATGCAACCTACATTCAACTTTCTGGGATCCGAGAGTATGGCAGTCCAAAGCGGGGCGTTGGCTTCATTCCACTTGACACTGGCCGGACCAAGGGTCAGCCTCCTGCTTCGAACCCCATCCATTGGAGCAGCAGCCCAGAAGGGAGCCACAGCAGGATGACACCCTGGACCCCTGGGCCACTTAAGCCGAGGCACCAGGGGAGGAACAAGAGGACTACCCAGCTACTACCTCCCTCCAGCGCCTCCTAGACTGCTGCCCACTGCCCAAATTCCACTTGGGTGGGCCTTTTACCCAGGCCAGGGGTGGATCAAGTACCAGTGGATGCCGGCTCCCATCCCACCACCGATCCCACCAGCTGCAGCTGCCCCACCACAATTCTTGGCTACCTGTTGAGTAGCCAAAGGTAGAGTTGACACTACCTTTGATGGCACCCCAGGAAAACTGGCCTTTTTCCTGAACCGAATCTGGGCTCTCATTGATCAATATGGGGCTCAATACCAGTCAAACTAGGACATGATCTCGGTCATTGCAGATAATATGAGAGAAGGGGAAGAAGCGGAATGGATTACTCAGCTCCATGATGAAGGAGCCTCTGAGTTTGAAGATGTGGATGAGTTTGTGCAGTCCCTTAGGGCCCGATTTGAGGACATGGCTAACCGAGAGGAAGCTGAGGTGGAAATTTGGTTGCCCACATATACCCAAAGAGTACCAAGACTTAGTGGAAGTCTTTAGTGAAGACGAGTGTAATGTACATCTCCCCCCACCGATTGCACAATAGAATTCACCCCGGGGCAAAACTATCAGAGCCAAAGATGTACTCAATGACCCCTAAAGAAATGGATGAATTGAGGAAGTACATTGATGTCAACTTAGCAAGGGGATTCATCCAGCCTGCCAAATCTAGGGTTGCAGCTCCCATATTGTTTAAAGAGAAAAAAGAAGGGGGTAAGGCTCCCTGATTTTTGCTAAACATTGTTTACGTACGAAAACACCGACCCCCATCCCCCTCGTGAAGGACATGCTCAACCATCTGGCGAGGGAAAAAGTGTTTACAAAGCTAGACTTTCAAGAAGCCTACTACCACGTTCGGATAAAAGAGGGCAACAAATGGAAAACAGCATTCAATTGCCAGTTAGGCAGCTTCCAGTTTAAGGTCATGCCATTTGGGCTACAGGGAGCCCCCGTGGTGTTTATGCAATTCATTAACGAGGTGCTACAAGAGTACCTATACAAAGGAGCTCTAGTTTATTTGTACAATATTCTCATCTTCAGTGAGACAATGGAGGAACATGTCAGACTAGTGCGCCAAGTATTGAAAAAACTCCTATATGCTAAGCTTTATGCCAAGCTGTCAAAGTGTGAATTTCACAAGACCTCCCTAGATTACCTTGGCTACTGAGTGTCAACCAAGGGGATTGAGATGGACCGGGCAAGGTTAAAGCCGTATTGGATTGGCAACTTCATCATACCCGGAAACAACATCCTAACACTATGTGAGATTGAAAGTATTGCAGTGCAGTCATGACTCCTGGTTGGCTGGTCAGTTTGGATTTCTAAAGACCCTTCACTTAGTGAGGAGGCAATTTGGGGGGCCAAAAATGAAGGCAGATGTGGAGGACTATGTAAAAAATTGTTCCACATGCGCTGCCATGAAAACACGACCAGGAAAGCCACCTGGTCTGCTCCAACCTGTAGCTGATCCCAGCCAACCATGGGAAGAGATAGCCGTGGATTTTATAGTTGAACTTCCAGTTCATTTGGACAGTGATTGACTTATTCTCTAAGCAAGCATATTTCACTGCTTGCTCTGGATTACTATCTCCTAAGAAACTAGCAAAAAAGTTCATCAAGCAGATTTATAGACTGCATGGAGTGCCCCGCCGGATTATTTCTGATCAAGGAATCCAGTTTACTGCAAAGTTCTGGAGGGAATTTCTGCGGTCCATTGGGTCCTCACAGGGATTGAGTTCTGCTTTTCATCCAAGTACAAACAGGGCCACAGAACGATGAATACCATGATGGGATAGTATCTGAGATGTTACGTAGACTACCAGCAAGATAATTGGGCTGATCTGCTACTTTTCGCAGAAGTAGCCTACAACAATGCAGTCCACAGTAGTACCAGACTAACTCCTTTCCAAGTCATCAGTGGGAAGGACTTTGTGCCTATGTCTGAGTTACCTAGAGAGCCGCCAATATCTAATGTCTCTAACCAAATGGATGGACTCATTAAAACGGGTGGGAAAATACCCAGCGTGCCCTCACCCAAGCCGCTGAGAAACACAAATGTCAGGCGGACAAGCACCAATCACCCCAAGCCTCCTTTAAAATGGGAGATTGGGTCTACTTGTCCTTTAAATATCTTAAAGTTGCCTACAAAGAAAGTGGGTCCAAAATTCCTATGACCATTTCCCATAGTGAAAGTGGGCGAAGGCAGAGGTGTGGGGGGAAGGCATGTGATCCAGTCTGCTGGATGCCACACACAGCAAACAAAGACAGACAGGATGGAATGGGCAGCTGGCTGCAGGAGCCTTGTCCTGCCTGTGCAGCGGAGCTGGAGGACAACGTTGGATGGCGGGGCCAAACTGCATGGTTGGCCCCACCCCACCATTTGCCTTGCCTCACCTGTTCATTGGTAGTGCTGCACAATCTGATGAACAGAGATGTCAAGAAGGAGGGGCAGGAAAAGGAGGAAAGTAAAAAGGAGAGGATAGATGACAAGGAAAAGGAGAAGGAAAAAAGAGGCAAAAAAGAAGAGAAGGAGTAGTAGTAGTAGTAGTAACCAGATTTCTATTTGTAAAGTAAAAGCATTAAATTGCACCAGGCTGCTCTGGCTGAGGGTTCTTTCCTGTTGGTGGGTTGGGAGAGACTGAGAGCCAGATGAGTTCATGGCTGCTAGAAATGGGCTTGCAGCAGCTGCTGGACACAGAATGGGTGGCCCTCTGCCTTTGCCTCCACTTGCTGCCAACTGCAGCAGTCTCAATTGCTGCAAGCAAGTGGCAAGCGCATTAAAAGCGAAAAGCGGGACTTGCCCGCCATCCTTGTACTGCAGAAGATGGTGAAACATAGAGAAGAGCCACCCTCCCTTCAAGAAAGAGCCGGGAGGCATTTCAATAGCAGGTCAAGCCAGATTTTATTCAGATGACATCCCAGCATGTCTTGGAAATGAGAAGGTGCAGCTGCTATTGCCCGTGCTGGGGTTTGCACGACAGCAACAAAAGATTGCAGAATTTATTTAAAAGAGAGAGTGTGTGTGTACACTTCCCCGCCCCCCCACTTTCCTTGAATACCATTGCTCCTTATCTAGCTCTAAGCAGGGGCCGAGCAAGCAGGGGCCATGGCGTGGCCCCACCCTCACCCAACCCCCTGCCTTACCTCTAGTCAGGCAGAGAGTGGATGCAACACACACGCTCATATGATGATGAGTGAGACAGTCTGTCGCCCTGTGCAAAAAACTTTGAAGCCCCTCCCCTGTCTCTCTTTAAAATAAATCCTGCATCTCTTGCCGCCGCTGTGCAAGCATGGGCAATAGCAGCTGCATCTTCTCCCTTCCAAGACATGCTGGGATGTCATCGGCTTGACCTGCTATTGAAATGCCTCCTGGCTCTTTTCTGAAAAAAGGGTGGCTGTTCCTTATGTTTCACTGCCTTCTGCAATGCAAAGGATGGTGGGTGAATCTGGCATTTCGCTTTTGACATGCTTGTTGCTTGCTTGCAGCAACTGGGACTGCTGTGGGTCCTTTGGGGCAGCTTGAGGGCCTTCCTGGGCTAGGACTAGTCTGCTTTCTTTGCTGAAAGACACATGCGTGCATGTCATGTATGCATGCAATATGCACGCACAGGTGAATTGAAACATCGTCCTCCAGCTCCACCACATGTGTGGGACAGGCCTCCCACAGCCACTCGCCCACTCTGTCCCACTATAGCTGGTGGGCTGGATTGTATGCTTTTCACCTGCGCCTCTGACTGCTGCTGTTTTGAGGGCTAGACTGGTGATCACAGCACTCCAACTCGCCTGCGTGGGCTGTGCAGCCCCAGAGTGTGCTAGCCAAGGGGCTGGAGGGCTGTGGCTGCTGCCAGACATTGTTGGCCCCCATGCACTCGCCTTGTCTTGTGCATGCACTGGGGTGTGTGCTTTCCGGCTGGGCTGATTATCCTGATACCATGCTCCCATGAAAATAGGCCCTAATGCGTCTTTTCGAGTAAAAAAAATACAAGACCGGGTCTTATTTTGGAAGAAACACAGGTAATAAAAAAAACAATGTGATTATAAATGTCTTGTTTGCTTGGTAAAAAATAATAAAGATTGGATGTGCTATTGACTCATCCAATGATCAAAAGGTTTTAAGTACTAAAGAAATTAAACAAACTACGTATTATTGTTTGACTTTTTAATAGCTTTATTCTGTCATCTTGCTTCACAGAAGATTCTAAAATTGCCTTTTCTGTATTAATAATAACTGATGGTTCTTACAATTGAGGGCAAAAAATTAAATATTCTATCAGTGATAATTTTTAGAACAGTATATGACAGCTGATAAATTGTTTAAGAGAGTAGGAATGAATGCTCATTGAATGGTCTCATGAAAACCATTTTTTTTTAGCATGTTGAAACAGTAAAATAGATTGTTTACCACCCACCTCGTGGTCAGGTGATTGTATAAGACATAATTGTGTTATATAAGATATGGTTATTCATTTAAATACAGATTTTTCTTTAACGTTTTATTTTTCACTAAAATCTTTGTTAATTTTACAGGTCCTGTGTTTGTGGAGTTTCCTTTGGATATTCTATATCCTTACCATTTGGTTGAGAGAGAGATACTTAGGAATGTTTTTCCCAAGAGCCTGAAAGGAAAGGCCTTGAACTGGTGAGTTGTGAGTTGTTCTCCCTTTGCTATCAGAAAAGATTTTAATGGATCAGTTAGCTCAAAGAAAGCCCAGTGATAGATTGTTGCAGTATAGAAAACCAAGGGGAAGTTCATTAATATATGCATTAGTTGCTGCTATGGAATATTTTTTGTGACATATATGTGTGCATACATACACCTACACATATAAACACATACTGTTTCTGATCATTTCTGGATTTTGTTTCTGATTGATCAGGGAAAATATGAAAAAGGACAAAGACAATTCCAGGTATCCAAGGTTATTTTTTTAGATTGTTTTTAAAATTAGATTTTTCTGAGAATCTCTCTACACCAGGGATCCCCAACCCCTGGGCTGTAGTCTACTGCTGGGCCTATTTGGAATTGGGCTGCACAAATGGCTGGTCGGAGCATGCACAGCTCAACTTGCAATGGCCCGCTACTTGCGCAAGGACTGCATACGTACGTGCATCAGCCTGCTACTCATGCGGTTCAGTTCCTTCTTCTTCCCCCAGTCAAACTGCCAAGCCACAAAGGTTGGAGACCACTGTTCCAAATTAAAACAAACACAGCATTTGAAAGATTTCTTTTGTTAACCCTTTCTTTTTATAGGGCAGTTTCTAAATCTGGCTGAGTATTTCAGTATTTCAGTTTCTTCTTTTTCCTTAATTGTAAGCGTTAATCTGTCCATTTCTGCACATTCTGATATTTTCTTAATTAAACTCTCATCTGTCAGAATCTCATTGTTTTTCCATTGTTGTGCAAATAAAATTCTGGCTGCAGTTAATACATGTAAGATCAAATATATATTCCTTTTATCATATTTTTCCAGCAGAATACCTAATAAAAATATTTCTGGTTTCAAGTCTATATACTGTTTTATCATTTTTTCCAATCAAGTATGTATTTTTGTCCAATTATATTTTGGCTTTTGGGCATGTTCACCACATATGGTAATACAAACCAGGTATCTGCTTGCACTTCCAACATTTAGCAGATCTATCTTTAAACATTTTTGCCAGTCTTGTTGATGAAAAATGCCACCTATAAAACATTTTATACAAACTTTCTTTATATGCAGTTGACAAAGTTAATTTAACATTTCTATCCCACAATTGCTGCCATTTGTTCAATTCTATTGCATATCCAAAGTTTTTAGCCCAAACTATCATTGTCTCCTTTACCTGCTCACTTTCCAGTTTGATACTTAATAAATAGTTATATGTTTTCTTTATCAGTTTTTCATCCCTTCCAATTAAGATCTGGTTCAATTCTGTGAATTCTTTATTAAAACCATACATATTTCTCATATTGAGATTGTATCTGCATTTGTGGCCACCATGCTATGTCCATCCCTTTACTACTAAGTTCTTGCTTGGTTTTTAGTTCCCCATTTTCATTCAGAATATCTTTATATCTTATAATATTTTCCATGTTAATAACATTAGGATGTATGAATGCTTCAATTGTGGAAAGCCAGACTGGTATTTTCAGATAATGTTGTTCTTTAATTTTAATCCATATTAATAAGAATGCATTTCTAACATAGTGTCTTTGGAAATAGCTATGTATCTTATTTTTCCCATACCATAAAAAAGCATGCCAACTTGATTGAAGGTCTTGTCCTTCTAAGGTTAATAGTCCTTGTTAGGAATGTAAGTCACTTAACAGTTATTTGGGTTGGAAATATATAAACTAGGATAGACATTTTAATACTGTCTTTAAGAAAATGCTAAAACTGTAATTGGGTGTGGTTTCTCAAACGGCCATAAGATGGAGCCAGAAACCTGGGTTGTTTAGTCTCAGTGAGTTTCTGTTCATTCTGTTGGAGAGAGTTGCCGTTCCTCCTAAATGACTGTTACTGATCGTTGATGTAAGTCTGTTACTGAACTGTTTTTTGATACTGGACTTTGTTATTTGGATTATCCCTGAACTGAACACTGACTGCTTTACCTGTGAATGACTTGGACTGCTTATCTTGGACTGTGCGTAAACGTTTATTGGAAGTAAAAACCTACATTTACTGTACAGTGTATCTGTGTGCTATGTGTGTATTATTCAACACTACTCTCACTACTCCTCCCTGTATGCGCTCATTTTCCTAACGGGGAATTACCTCAACATGGTTATGGGCCCAGGCCATACCAGGCTCAGATAACTGAGAGTTGGTGTGAATGCACAGTACTCTATACAGACAGCTGTTTACTGTTTAATTGTGTGTTACTATCCTGGTAAAGATGGCATAAGACACTTCAATAAGTCTATCACTGATAACCCGGTTGGATGGAACAAACTATGTTTCCTGGTCAATGAAGTGCAGTCTACTTCTGCGTAGAGAAGGGTTATGGACTGTAGTTCAAGACCCACCGGATGTAAATGCTTGGGATTCAGATAATGAGGATGATGCCAAGAAGCTTGCTGACTTTAAACAGAACAACGAACAAGCTCTTTGTATAATTGGACTAATACTGAGTGACCAGCAGCTAGTCCATATTCGTGGAGAAGAGTCTGCTGCTAGGTGTTGGGAGAATTTGAAGAGGATTTATGTTCGTGACAGTGTAGGTGCACACATACATCTTACATGTAAACTGTTTAGAGCATGTCTGCTGAAAGGTGGAGATATGTTAGCTCATTTGAACTTCATGAAAAGAACTTTTCAAGAGCTGCGTGAAAAAGAACTGATATTTTCAGAACTGCATCAAGTTTACATCATTCTTTCCTCGTTGGATGAAAGTTATGATGATTACGTATCTTCACTGGAAGTCCTGCCCAGAGATAAACCGACATTGACTGACATAACCGGAAGGTTGTTAAAAGAAGCAAGAAGACGGCTGGATAGGGACCAACTGAGGAAGGAACAACCAAAGAAGAGGATTTGTGTTCAACTGCCTATAATGTTAGGAAATGTTTTTCTTGTGGGGCTAGAGGACATATAGCTAGATTTTGTAAGAAAGGAAAATGACAGAATACTAGTAAACACCAGAAGGTCAGGAAGAATATTAGTTTAGCTATGTCTAGCAATTCAACTGTAAACCATGATTTGTGGGTTGTTGAAAGTGGAGCATCACAATGCATTACTAAAGATAGAAAGAGGTTTATAAAGATGTGTACGAGTAAACAACATGTATCATTGGCAAATGGATGGAAGATGAAGGTTTCTGGTGAAGGTAATGCATATTGTTCTTGTATCAACGAACATTTAACTATGTTATATGTACCTAAACTAAAATTCAATTTATCAGTAAGGGCTTTAGTTAATCTTGGTTATGTAGTAACCTTTAGGGGAGATAAATGTATAATAGAGAAAGAGGGTAAAAGTATTACTGCTAATTTAGAGAATGATTTATATGTGATACATGATGACCAGTTGAAGATGGCTAACTCAGTTTATAACAATGTTAAGCCACATGATGAATGTATACATTTACTACATAGACGTCTAGGGCACATTAATTTCAAAATGCTGAAACTGTCAATTTGTCAGAGGGAGTAAAATTGAAACCCTGTAGCAAGTATTTAAACTGTTAATGCTTGTAGTCAAGAGAAAAGCAAGGTTACTCCAGCAAACAGACTAAATGGGTTTAAGACCAAAGAACCTTTAGAGGTTGTTTTTGCTGACATAATTGGTCCTAAGAAACCTAGTTTAGGAGGTGCCTGCTATATTTTGAGTATTATGGACCATTACTCAAGGTACGGTTTCTGCTATCTCATGAAAAACAAAATAGAAACATTCCAAATTTTTTTTAACTGGCTAAGGTTTGCTGAGAGAAAAATGAGGAGTAAAGTAATTACTTTAGTTACTGATAATGGGAGTGAGTTTGTTAACAAGAGATTCCAAACTATGCTGAAATTGGCTGGTGTTAAGCATAAACATTCTGCACCATACAACATAACTCATTTGTAGAACAAAGAGGGCAAACGTTACAAGCCATGGCTCGCACTATGTTATCTGATTCAGGTTTACCTGAAACACTGCGGGGTGAGGCCATAATGTGTAGCAATCATGTTTTAAACAATGTAGTTAACACAACAACTGGTAAATTACCATTCACTCGTTGGCATGGCAGAAAACCAAATTTAAGTTACCTACTGTCAGCTGGTGCTCCATTCAAAATCCAAGAAAGAAATACTTAGACTCCTTTAATCAGAGAAAAGATATCTTTTACTGGAAATCAAGTGGTAGCAACAAAAGAATTCTGAATCTGAGAAAATGGGCACGTAAATCACACATACAAAGTAATGGCAACGTTCCCACCCCCAATAGTTCAATTGGCTCATCCAATTAAAAGTTGTGTATATCATCATGTGGGCATCTCCAGGTGGTGATGAGGCTTCTGTCCGTTGACCTTGACATCGTTTGATAAAGGGTTGCAGCTGCACATAGCATAGGATAGAAACCTAAGCAAGAATGTACCCCCCCCCCCAGTTTATACAGTTCTGGTTTGTAACACCTCCAGCTCACTTCCCATAACCATTCCCCCCTCCCCCCCGTTACTTATGACAGCCGAAAGATGCAAAGCAAAGGGAGAAAATCTTGAAGGCTGACACCTACACACATTTGGTGCTCCAGCATGGGTGCATATTCCCTCACAAGTAAGAATGAAAGGGCAACATAGAGCTAAGAAGTTATTTTTTGAAGGTTACGAGGCTAACCATGGATCATTTAGATTCTGGGATCAAGGCACAGCTCATATTTATTGTAATGCTAGTGCAAAATTTCTCAAGCATGTTGGGTGGGATAAACTGGAACATGAATCCAGCAATGATATAATTATTGACACCCAAATAGTCCCTAAAGATGAAATAAGTAAACCACGAATAGCCAAGAGGAAGAACAGGAGGAAGTAGAAGAATAGGCACAGAAAGAAGTAGTAGAACAGGAGCAGGTGGAACAGGTGAGTCCACCAGTTAGCCCTGTATTACCAAGACATTCAACCCGAGTAACACGACCACCTGATAGATATCAGGCTAGTGTTATATGCCAAGCAAATACAGTTCCA